ACCACACTGTCAGTGTCCTTCTAACCTGTCTAGCATTTATGTTTTAAATTTTGATACACAAATTGATTTTGAAAAATATATTTTGATGAATGTATTTCAACATAGCTGGTCTCCCTTGTTATTCTACATGTTTTATTTTATGTATTTAAAAGCATTATTCTGAGAATAGGGCTCCACCAAAATGTCAAAGATATGTGTAACATTAAAAAGAACCCTGGTCTAGAGTAACATGAGTTAGCACTAAAGAGATATCACAGAAGCCCCAGAAAAAAAAATGAATCTTAAAAGACAATGAGCATTCTAACATTTGTGGTAATTGCATGTGGGTCTTATTTTGCAAAATAGATGACTCTGAATATTTACAGCAAATTATATTTTGTAAATAACATCATATTTCTCTCCAAACAAAATTACTACTTTTTAATTGTTTTCAATAGTATTTTATTTTTCCCAATCCCATGTCAAGACAATTTTTAGCATTCATTTTTACAAGATTTTGAGTTCCAAACTTTTCTCCCTTCCTCCTTCCTCTTCCCCCTTCTAAAATGGCAGGCAATTTGATATAGGTCATACATATGTTATCATGTAAAATATATTTCCATATTAGTCACAGTTATGAAAGAAGAAAAAGATCAAGAGAAAAAACTACAAAAAAGAATAAATTAAGTGAAAATAACATGTTTCAATCTGCATTTAGAGTCCATTAGTTCTTTATCTAGGTGTAGATAGCATTTTCATTCATGAGTTCTTTGTACTTGTCTGGGATAATTGTGTTCTGAGACAAGCTGAGTCATTCATAGTAGTCATAGCAACAATGTTGCTGACAATATATACATCGTTTTTCTGGTTCTACTCTTTTCACTTTTTATCAGTTCATACAAGACTTTCCAGGTTTTCCTGAAGTCTACCTGCTTATCATTTCTTATGGAACAATAGTATTCCATTAATTCATGTACCACACTTTGTTCAATCTTTCTCAAAATGATGGGCATCCCTTCAGTTTCCAATATTTTGCCACCACAAAAAGGCTGCTCTAAATATTTTTGCACATATAGGTCCTTTCTATTTTTCATGACCTCTTTGGAATACAGATCTAGTAATGGTATTCACTGTAATTCACTTAACTTCTCCTTTAAGAATGCTATACCCTTTGGTGCATGTATGTTTAGTACTGGTATTACTTCATTGACTATAGTGCCTTTTAGTAAAATGTAGTTTCATTGCATCTTTTAATTAGGTTTATTTTTGCTTTTGTTTTGTCTGAGATTGGGATTGCTACTCCTGCTTTTTTTTTTTACTTCAGCTGAAGCATAATAGATTCTGTTCCAGCCCATTACCTTTACTCTGTGTGTGTCTTTCTGCTTCAAGTGTGCTTCTTCTAAACAACATATTATAGGATTCTGGTTTTGATCCACTCTGCTATTCATTTCCATTCATCCTACTTTCCCTCCTGTTTGTTCTCTCTCTTTTCCTCCCTTCCTTCCTCAACAGTGTTTTGCTTCTGTTTACCCCCTCCCCTAGTGTGCCCTCTTTTCTGTCAGTTTCCCCCATCCCTTTACTGAATCTCCTCCCTTCCTATTTTCCTGTTGGTTAAGATAGATTTCTATATTCAACTGATTGAATACATTATTCTCTCTTTGAGCCAATAGTGATGTAAGTTTCAAGTGATGCCTATTACTCATCCTCCCATCTTTCTCTCCACTGTAATAAGCTTTTTGCATCTATTCATGTGAAATAGTTTACCCCATTCTACCTCTCCCTTCTTTCTGCATCTTGTGTATTCCTCTTTCTCATCCCAGTTAATTTTTATATTGTTCCCTCAAATTCACCTTATGCTCATACCTTCTGTCTATGTATATTCCTTCTAGCTGTACAATTAGTAGTACAGTTTTTAAGAATTACAAGTATCATTATCTCATGTAGTACTTAGTGCAGCGTCTGATACATGGCAAGTATTAAGCACTTTAGAAATGCTTGATGATCGATTGTTGACTGTAATAGATGAAGATATTTTATGACTTTTTTTAACAATTGTTATAGATTTTACAAGAAAACTGAACTTGATTTCCCATGCAATAATGCCTTTTTGCCTATTAATGAATGACAAAACCAATTCTACCATCTCTCTTAATTGTCTCTTCAAAGAGAGCCTGTGACCCATTCTTTCATCTAACCTTGCTACCTTTTTATTTTTCCATCAAGTTTTACTTGAAGTAAATGTGGGATATACTATCCCTTTATAGCCCTTTTCATATGGATCAAGTTAGTGATGAAAAGGGTAGGAAAAAATATTTTTTGTACAAAAGGAAAATATTTATATTGTCAAAGGATGTGTGGTTTTGCCACAATTGTATAGAAACATTCTGACACATAAAAGGAGTAGGGAAAGACATTTGTTTTCATTTAAACTATCAATATGCTTATGAAGAAATACAGATTTGAGATCTAATATCAAAAATTTTAGAAAGAAATTAATTTTGATGTAAGTGTTATACATATTTTATGTTATAAAGAAACAGAATTTTTAATTTATTAAAATTTGGTGAATATAAGTATAAAGCAATAGTTACAAGGACACCAAAAGAAATGTTATACTATGTTAAAGCCTTAAAAAGTTGCAGGGCATTATGTTCTTCTCCAGCAAGCAGAGCAATGAGTTACAACTTTGCCGTATGTGCTCTCTAAACCTGAACCCACTTTCTTCTAAACTCTTGAAGTATTTATGGAAGAAGTTACCATTGGTTGGGGGCGGGGGTTGGGGTGGGGAATGACTTATTGTTATTACTGTACCACTTTAGGGGCAGTTTTGTGGTACAATGGATAGAACACTGGGCCTGGAGTCAGAAAGACCTGAATTCAAATTTGATCTTGCACAAGAATGAAATAATTGAACAACAACCCCCACAGACATCACATTAGTAAGTAAAAATTTCTAAAATCTAAATTAGTCTAGCTGTTTATTGTTTTCAATTGATAATTAATGGTGGGAGCATACTGAGGTGCGATAATGAGAAATAGGATTAGGAAAAAAAACTCTTTAGGTTGAGCCTAGAACACTAGGGGAGAATTAGCCAACTGAGGTCTGGGAGGCAACTTCCTCGTAGCTCTAGGAAGTAGGAAGTAGCTGTAGAGCCTGTGCTACAAATGTATTGGATTTGTAAGCTTCAATCCTATCCCTCTTAAATCAACTACCAAGATGATCTAGTGTAGACAATCTAACTAAAATATAATATCTTAAAATTTTAAGCCTTTTTCTTTATGGGTGTCTTTCTATACAGCTTTTTTTCCCCCCAGAATTAATGGCCAAAAAAACTAAAGTCAGTGCATAGGTTTTATATGAGAGAGGAAAATAGTTTCTCAAATGCAATGAGAGATGTTGCTTTAGATCCAGTGCTCTTAACCCATGTTGTATAGACCCCCTGGACATCCATGGAGAGATGTCAGTGAGTCTATGAACTTGGATGGAGAAAAAATTAATCTTTATCTTTCCTAGCCTTTGCAATACTATGAATTTTATTTTATGCATTATTTTGAGAAGGGGTTCATAGGCTTTACCACACCTCTGTAAGTTCAGATATTGATAAAAAAAACCTGCTAGAGATGGTATCCCAATTTTAGAGGTGAAAAAGCTCGAGGTCAAAAAGTTAGGTAAGTCAGCCATGATCAGCCAGTAAATAATACTGGGATGGGATTAAAACTTTGTTCTCCTGAGTAAAAGCCTTAAATCAAATCCTTCTTTCTTCAGGATACCTTTCTTGGTCCCCACCCATCATCTCCAACTGCTCATGGCTTTATTTTTGAGATTAAATTATACGTATTATATTCTTACATTTATCTAGTTATTTATTAATGCTTACTCCATTAGATTGTGAGTTCCTTGTGAGCAGAGACCAATTTTTATTTTCTTTATATCTCTAGCACTAAGTACCTGGCACTTAGTAAATACTTAAGTGGTGATAATAGATTGACTGACTAGGACAACATGTTTTCTCCTTGATTAGGCCTAATGTCAGTCCTAGGTAAAATTTTAATAGACAAAATTTGTCTTTGGCATTCTTCATTAATGACATGCTTATCCTTTATATACTTTAACTTCTTGGTCTCAGTTTCCTCATCTGTAAAATTAGGAATTTGGAATAGAAGGTTTTTTTTTAAGGCAATTGGGATTAAGTGACTTGCCCAGGGTCACACAGCTAGTAAGTGTCAAGTGTTTGATCTGAGGCCGGATTTGAACAGAGGTCCTCCTGACTTCAGGGCTGGTGCTTTATCCACTGCACCACCTACCTGCCCTGGAATAGAAGATTTCTAAAGTGATATCTAGCTTTTACATCTATGATAAAAGCATAGACTATGTCTTACAGTTACAAAGGATTGTAGAAGGCATGAGGGAAAAGTCCTTACTTCATGCTTTAAATATGCTCTAAAAACAACTACCAATCCCAACATAGTCAAACAACATCTACCCAGATACCTTAATCAAGGGGAACTTATTACCTCATTATAAAGTTTATTCTGAGGCTAGGCAGTTCCTAGGTCACACTGACGAAGCCCTGTGCTTTTTGTTATCTGCTTGATTTTATTTGACCATAACTGCTATAACTGCCTTCTTCAGAGGTTTAGACTTTTTGTGGTTTTTCTCTTTTGCCCCATTTAACTTTCAAAATCCCTTGTTGTAAAGGGGATTCCATTGCATGGTCATTGAACTAGATATGCCAGGATAAAGTAATTTTCAATTTTCCAGTTCTATAATTCTATGAATAGGTTCATCAGATGCAATACTTAATCTAAGTTTTGATAAATTGGCATTAGTAATTTGTATGATAAACAAATAAAAACAAAGGGGAGAAGTGTGGGGTATGTGAGATAGACAGACAGACAGAGACAGATGGAGTGAGAAGAAGACAGACTTAAAAAGCAATAGAGACAGAATATAAAAATCATTTTTGTTACTAAGATGTTTCTCTCATATCTCTTCAGATTTCCAACCAAATTATCTGAGGAGAATGGCAGTGGGAAATAACACCATTGTGACAGAATTTATCCTCTTGGGCTTAACAAACCAAACAGAGCTCCAGACACCACTCTTCATTTTGTTTCTAGGAATCTACTTAGTCTCCATGGTGGGGAACCTCATCTTGATTTTATTAATCTGGGTCAGTTCTCAGCTTCATACTCCCATGTACTATTTTCTCAGTAACCTGTCATTCATAGATCTCTGCTACTCCTCTGTCATTACACCCAAAATGTTGGAGAACTTTGTATCAGAGAAGAACATCATCTCCTATCCAGGGTGCATGGCTCAGTTCTTTTTCTTCCTCTTCTTTGTGATTGCTGAAGTTTACATGCTGACAACTATGGCCTACGATCGTTATGTTGCCATCTGTAGACCCCTGCTCTATAATATCACCATGGTTCCATGGTTCTGCTCCCTGCTGGTGGCAGGTGGATACATAATGGGGGGCACTGGGGCCATTGCTCATACAAGCTGCCTAGCCAGACTGTCTTTCTGTGGGGACAATGTTATCCATCATTACTTCTGTGATATTCTTCCCCTTCTGAAGCTCTCCTGCTCCAGCACCTACATCAATAAGCTTTTGGTGATGATTGTTGGTGGATTTAATTTGTTGGCTACAACTCTGCTAATCTGGATCTCTTACACTTTCATTCTTTTGAACATTCTTCATATGCAATCTATTAAGAGCCGTTATAAAGCCTTTAGCACCTGTGGATCCCATCTGGCAGCTGTTTCTGTTTTTTATGGTTCCATCTTGGTCATGTATTATATACCAGCTTCTAATGATGTGACCCAGGAGAAAGCAGCCTCAGTGTTTTATACCACAGTGATCCCCATGCTGAATCCTTTAATCTACAGTTTAAGGAATAAGGATGTGAAGGATGCATTAAGGAAAATCATAAAAAGCAGAATGTTTCAAGGTCCACATAGGAAATAGGTAATCTGAAGATCATTATACTATTGGCTTTTCTTTTAATTCTTCTTAGACAGTAGAGATTCCTCTCCAGAATAGGCCTCATCTTAAACAACATTGTAATGAAGGCAAGTACATGCTTTGATTCTCTGTCACTACTGATGTCTGTTTCTGTCCTTCACTGGCTGCCTTTAGATGCATATGGCCTCCCACTCCATAACTATGCCCTCCTACCCCATTCTTCTCAGTTGCATTTGCGTGTTTTATTTCAAATTATTTCAAAACTCTGCTCTCACAGAAGGATGATGGTAATGTCTTTGCCTGAGTTTCAAATTGAAGGACTGAACAAGATAACCTTTAGGAATCCTTCCAAGTTCTCTGATGATATTGCTATACAAATCCTTAGTACATCTTTCTTTATATCCCTCCTGCCGTAATATATGATAGGTCTTTAATAAATACTTGCTGCATCAACTGGGGAATGTTGAACTAGTTGTGGTATGTGATTATGATGGAATACTATTGTGCTATGAGAAATGATGAGCAGGATGCTCTCAGAGAAACCTGGAAAGACTTGCACGGGCTGATACAAAGTGAAATGTACTGTGCACAAAGTAACAGCAAATATCTTAAGATGATCAGCTGTGAATGATTTAGCTATTCTCAGCAATACAATGAGCCAAGACAACTCTGAAGGACTTACGATGAAAAATTATATTCCCAGAGAAAAAACTGATGGTATCTGAATACAGATCGAAGCACACTTTTTTAACTTCATCTTTCTTGAGTTTTTTTTTGTCTGTTTTCTTTCACAACATGACTATTATGGATGTGTTTTATGTGACTACATGTGTATAACCTATGTTGAATTGCTTGCCTTCTCAATGAGGGAGGATAGGAAGGGAGGAAGGGAGATCATTTGGAACTCAAAATTTTAAAAACAAATGTTAAAAAATTGCTTTTGCATGTAACTGGGGAAAAATAAAATACTAAATAAATAAATATATTTGATGAATTATATTTAATTGAAGAGTAACTTTATTTAAAAAGAAATATTGTATCTATTTGAGGGTTTTTATAGCCATAGTGGGAAAGAGAGAAAAACTCAAACAATTAAACCCAAATGTGAAACAAAGACCAAAGAGGATTTAAAGAATAGGAGATACTATGTTGTATAAGAAGATACTCTCAATTCCTAAGGTGAAAGGATGCTGGAGAGCAGTGAGTTGAGGGGAGCAGGAACACCTCATAGAACTATCTGGGAGGATTGTTTTCAGTGACTGCAGTCCATACCTTCTGCACTCTTTTTCACTCTCATATCCATTATATTGCCAAGGCCTTCAGATTTTACTTCATAACATTTCTCACATATGGCCTCTTCTTTTCTCTGATACTGTCACCACTATGGAACATGCTTTCACAAGCCTATGCCCTTATTATTACAATAAACTGCTAGTTGTTCTTCCTGCCACAAGTTTCTTCCCTCTACTCCATTACTCGATCCTCCTCCCCTTTGTCCAAATGATCTTCCTGAAACACAGGTTTGACCATATCACCTCCTGCTCAATAAACTCCAGTGGTTCCCTATCACCCCAATGTCAAATGTGAGATTCTCTGTTTGGTGTTCAAAGATCTTCATAACCTGTCCATCCTCTGCCTTCTATTTTTCTTATACCTTACATCCTACCACATACTCTTTGATCCAGTGACATTGGCCTCCTTGCTGTATCTCAAACAGGACACTCCATCTCTTGGCTGACTCTATGCATTTTCTCTGGGCATCCACAATGCATGGAATACTGTGCTTTCTCATTTCCACATCTTTGCTACCTTGTGTTCCTTCAAGTCTTAGCTAAAATCCACCTTCTATAGGAAGCTTTTACTTATCTCTCATAATTCTATGGCTTTTTCTCTGATGACTTCGTACCACTTACCACATACATAACTTGATTGTGCACAGTAATTTGTATATTGTCTATTGCCTTCCATTGTAAGCTTCTCAAAAATAGATACTATATTTTAACTTTCTTTGTATCCTTAGTGTTTAACACAATGCCTGGCATGGAGTGGACACTTGATAATTGTTTATTGGCTAACTGACATGTTGAGAGATAATTTTCTTGAAAGTTTTTATGGACTAAGAAATACACACTCTGTGCTCAAATTAGCAATAATAGCAATTATAGCTAGCATTTATATGGCACTTTACAATTTATAAATTTATGTACGATTTATAAAATGCCTTAAAATATCTCATTTGATCCTAATAATAACCCTCAGAGATAAGTACTATTATTATCCCCATCTTTCAGACAAGGAAACTAAGGTTGACACAATTTAATTTATTTATCCAGGATCACGGTGCTAGTAAGTGTCTGACGTCAGATTTGAATTCAAGTCTTTCTAACTCTAGATGTGGTTATCTACAATTTGAACAAGTTAGTGCTCAGGTGCCACAGGCAGTGTGTGACTAGGCTTATGTCAAAGCTTTTCCTTCTTATTAATACCTTTCCGCAATTGAATTCTACTTGCTTATCCATTAAGAAGTCAGAGTAACCTCTACAATGTTATGGTGCATTGGATGCATTAGAAAAAGACTTTAGGTAAGGATCTACCCAGTATCATACTCAAAAGCTATAATAATAAAACCCCAAAGAATAAAAATTTCCAAAAACCTTCAAAAGAGAATTGTTTTAGGAGGGGAAAAACACTCAATGAAATGAGTAAATAAAGAGACATTAAATAAACAGACATTAGACAGAGACATTTGTTTTTATTAAAAAAGTAATTCTAAAAGATGCCTTATTACACCACCTACAAGTTTCACTTTATAAGGTTGCCTATCTTGCCCACCACTGGTTTAAGTTACAAAAGAGCTGTGATCTTAGTCGCTGGAGTGGAATCCAGAGTGATGGAATTACAGCTTTCTGAAGTATTGATGTACATATAAACATGACAAAGGGAAAGCAGAGATTTGAGAAGTTGATTGATCATAGTTATATTTATGGCTATGTTTATATATCATAATCTATTTAAAGAGAATTTGAATTAAATGAGGGCTGGGATATTCATGCTAATGTGTTAGAAGTCTTTTTCTATCAGAAGTTATTAGAATTAAAGAATGGCTTTGCAAATGACAATTTTGTACATTTTTATTTCATTGGAGTTTTATGTCATAGATTTAGATACCAGGTTTTGTCAATAACTTTCACGTCTCCTAGAGTAGAAGTTTATGAGATCAAGGACTAGCTCCTTTCAGGTAGGGAATATTTTATTCTCCATACTTGTATCTCCAACTCCTGTCACCTAGTATGCCTGTCACATAGTGTAGGTACTTAATAAAAACTTGTTGGTTGATTGATTAATTCTATGTGCCTTACATAAATTTTCACAATATCTGCTGTGCTCTATAAATAGCAGATATTGAATAAATGTTTATTGATGATGGAGAGAAATAATGAATGGATTTTAGGGTGCATATCAGAAAATAGTAATTCAGCTTGAAAAGGTAAGTGCCTCCAAATTGTAGATGACCTTGATTGCCAGACAAAGGTATCTGAAATTCACTCATTGTACAATATGGCATCACTAATGACCCTTAAGGAGAATGACAACATGACCAGATCTATGCTTAGAAAGATTATTGTGATTATTATATGAAGGATTCACTGGAGGGGGGAGAGAGTGCAGTAGGGAAGGACAGTAAGAGGTTTTTATAATAGTTCAAAAAAGTGATAATTTGGGCTTGTATTCCTGTGGGAGCAATGGAAATTTGAAAATGAGAGTCACTGTGACAGAAAGAGCCAGCCTCAGACTCAAGAAAACCTTGGTTTAAAACTCTCTGTGATAACTACATTTTTGGTGGCCCCAGGCAACTTTCAAAAGAAGAATTTACATATTAGTTGCTTACTCACTTTGTTGAAAAATGCCCCTGGCAATCTTTCTTAGCAATCACTTCACACTTCTATATATCTCTCAGAGGTAGAGGGGAACTTTAAAAATATTTTATTGCTGCTTCCTCTGGCATTTCACATTTTTTCTGTGATAATATCATAAAATGGATTTGCCTCCTTTTGGGAATGATGCCTTTATTTTTTATGAAAATAATATTGATAACACATATCTAGATTTTAGATTATCTAGAATTCCCAAGAAAACCCTTCTTCCCATGCCATTCAAATAACTATTCTTTATCATACAGAATAAAAGAGAAGAGGGAAGAAGGCAAACAAACAAAAAGAAGAAGATACATAATTCATAAGATCTTAGGTCAGCAGACATTGGCAAATAGTCATCTTTGTTTAGTATTCTTCTTTTCTATGTCCACAGATTCCCACCTTGACTTTCAGGGGGCAATGGATGTAGGGAATCATTCCATAGTGACAGACTTTATCCTTATGGGATTAACCAAACAGTCAAAATTCCAGCTCCCCCTCTTCCTACTCTTCCTACAAACATATGTTAACTAGAACAGAACTAGCCTCTAATCTGTCACCAGAGTCAAACAAAGCAGATCAGAGGTGAGTGTCAGTAATCAAGGAGTGGTTTAATTAACTTCAGATTGAGAAAAAAAAACACTTATAAGCCATGATTGAAAAAAGAGCTTGGACAACATATTTCAAGAAATTATCAAGGAAAATTGCCCTTATATCCTAAAACCAGAGGGCAAAATGAAAATTGAAAGAATTTGCTGATTACTGCTTGAAAGAGTACTGTGGCAGAGAGGACAAACCTCAGATGAGGCTGAATGAAAACTTCCTGGAATATTATGGCCAAATTTCAGAGTTCAGAGGTCAAGGAGAAGCTATTGTAAGCAGTCAGAAAAAAGACAATTCAAGTATCATGGAGCCACAGTCAGGATAATGCAAGATTTAGCAGCTTCTACATTAAAGGATCAGAAGGCTTGGAATATAATGTTGTGGATGGCAAAGGAGCTAGGATTACAACCAAGAATCAACTACCCAGCAAAATTGAGTATAATCCATCAGGAGTAAAAATGGAAATTAGAGGAAAAATAGAGGACT